TTCCCTAATTCACAACTTATTCCAACATGCGCAAAACATGTCTCTCTCGTCCAATTTTTTCCTATTCCCTAATTCGCAACTTATTCCTAAGTGCACAAAACATTGTGTTTTCACAGGTAAGTGCAACCTTTGTGCTTCCCGTCCCATTTTTTCTATTCCCTAATTCGCAACTTATTCCAAACTGCAAAAAACATTGTGTTTTCACAGGTAAATGCTGCATGTGTCTCTCGTCCCATTTTTTCCTATTCCCTAATTCACAACTTATTCCAACATGCGCAAAACATTGTGTTTTCACAGGTAGATGTGCATGTCTCTCTCGTCTCATTTTTTCCTATTCCCTAATTCACGACTTATTCGTTTGACGTGGCCCTGCCAATGGATTATGTCATTTGTGACGTGCTGCTTCTTTTTAAGAGAAAAATATTTCCTATTTTTATTTAGGAGCTGTCTCATGCTGTTCAAGTTGCAAAATCCATTGGCAGGGCCACGTCAAACGAATAAGTCGTGAAAAAGGGAATAGGAAAAAATGGGACGAGAGAGACATGCACATCTACCTGTGAAAACACAATGTTTTGCGCATGTTGGGAATAAGTTGTGAATTAGGGAATAGGAAAAAATGGGACGAGAGACACATGCAGCATTTACCTGTGAAAACACAATGTTTTTTGCAGTTTGGAATAAGTTGCGAATTAGGGAATAGAAAAAAATGGGACGGGAAGCACAAAGGTTGCACTTACTTGTGAAAACACAATGTTTTGTGCACTTAGGAATATGTTGCGAATTAGGGAATAGGAAAAAATGGGACGGGAGACAGACAGGAGGCATTTACTTGTGAAAAACCAATGTTTTGCGCAGTTTGGAAGAAGATCAGCAGCATGCACATTGATGTTTCCACAACAGAGTTTGGAGACCAAAAGATGTGAAAACATCAGAGAGCGACACGGTACCAACTGGGGTGTGCGGCATGCCGCACTTAGGGAATAGGAAAAAATGGGACGAGAGAGACATGCACATCTACCTGTGAAAACACAATGTTTTGCGCATGTTGGAATAAGTTGTGAATTAGGGAATAGGAAAAAATGGGACGAGAGACACATGCAGCATTTACCTGTGAAAACACAATGTTTTTTGCAGTTTGGAATAAGTTGCGAATTAGGGAATAGAAAAAATGGGACGGGAAGCACAAAGGTTGCACTTACTTGTGAAAACACAATGTTTTGTGCACTTAGGAATATGTTGCGAATTAGGGAATAGAAAAAATGGGACGGGAGACAGACAGGAGGCATTTACTTGTGAAAAACCAATGTTTTGTGCAGTTTGGAAGAAGATCAGCAGCATGCACATTGATGTTTCCACAACAGAGTTTGGAGACCAAAAGATGTGAAAACATCAGAGAGCGAGACGGTACCAACTGGGGTGTGCGGCATGCCGCACACCCCAGTTGGTACCGTAGATGGACGAAATATTCAAACCCCTTCTATCCGGTACAGCCCCCTCGCCCCCAAAGTTCAATGTTATTGTAACCTGAAGTGCGTTAGCCCCAATGGACGAAAAAAATCAAACCCCTAACATCACTTTTGCTAACACGCGCGCTGAAACATTGAGATTTGGGGGTGCGGGGGTTCAACGTAGTGCGTGCTGCAGGGTTTGAATATTTTGTCCATCTACTGCGGTGCCTTCAAGTGCTACGAGTATGTTGTTAATATGTCAGGGTGCTGTGACATGCTGTGACCATGTTTTCATTCTGCTTTCCGTCTCCAATACTCTACGGACGGCATTCTACGGCACATCTCTTCCCTCTGGTTTTGTCTTCGTTTGTCCAGCTGCATTGCATAGTTTTTGAGGTTTTGCACGTCTCCATACACGTCAGCCTGGAAGCGTTGGTCTTCCAGAATGCGCTTGGCTTTGTCAGCAGCCTGCAGACATCCGAAGAGATCTGAAGAGATGTGGAGAGATGTGGAGAACAAAGACGAGCGAAACCAAACACACTATGAACTCCAGAAACGCGCGGCAAACACCCGTGAGTCACAGCGCGGAAATGAAAACCAGACAGCACCTCCTTGCGTTTTTTGGATGCCCCAGCTGTGGCACCTGGTGGTCTTGAAAAATAAAATGATACAACATGTTTGCCTCATCTTGTCTGTAGAATCCTCGAGTGCAATAATTTGATGGAAATTGTGATTGTTTTTTTGGTTTTGGATGCTCATCGCCTTCTTCTGCAGTTTCTTGCAGCTGCTTGTGGAAGTTTGGATTCACACTAACCTGCATATTGATCAAGACATATCAAGACAGTACGTGGAGCATCCAAAATATGCAAAGTTGACAGCCGATGTAAACAGAATTAAACAGAATCAGAAACAAGAAAGATCCAAAAAGATCCAAAAAGTGCGCCACTCCGTCACTCCATGCGTCAGACCTGGCCTTGCTTTGATCTTTGATCCGAGTTCGCATGGTCCTCTTTGCTTCAAGTTTTTCTCGTACCTGCGACGTGCGAGATCTCGCAAGAAAAGGCGTCAAAAATGTTTCAAAGTTTCATTCACATTCTGTGTCCAAAGCCTTAGTTCTTTGATTTTCTGTGCATGTTATGTGAGCTGTGAAAAAGCACTACCCCAACTCTTTGTACTCAGAAGGGTCTTTCGCGAATCCTTTCGTTTTACTTTCGCGGCCACAGCGGTGGCTTTCGCGAAAACCATGCTACAATAACCTCTTGAAAGGGGAAAGCCTGTAGTCACATGAGAAAGATATAGAAAGATTAAGTCTGGCATTCGCAATGTGTTTGCCCACCGTCTCTTCACACACCTCATCCGCCCATCTGAGGAGCAGGAAAGGAAGAGAAAAAGAAAAGAGGAAATGGAAAGAAGATAAAGAAGAGAGGAGAAGGACAGGTTTTCACCAGAAAAATGTGGCTAGAAACATGGAGACTTTGCAGGGAGACTGGTGGACTTGGCCCATTGCATCTTTCGCGGCCCTTTCGCGAATCTTGGCTCTTTTGCGGTTCTTTCGCTGTGAGTTGGAATCGTATACAATCATCGGCGAGTGTTCCCTCTTGTCCAAAGATTCGCAAACATAGGCCCGCGTGTCGTGAAGAAAAAAACAGAATCATAACATGAGCTTTCGCGACCTTTCGCGAAGCAATTTTACTTTCGCGGTCGCGACCCGGCTTGAAACAATCTATTGATGTTTTTTTCGTGGCTCATGTGTTTTTGCAGCTGCTTT